ATGAGTGTCAATTAGAATATCATCATCGCTTATATACGGTTTGTCTAATATTCTCCGCATTTGCTCAAAATAATGAAGACATTGCAAGAGTTCTCGTATTAATTCACACGATATGTAGAAATCAATACAAATCATGTCAACTGAGGTCTTGGTTTTGAATATGTTAGTTTTTCCTTTAATTAAAACCCTTAAATCTAGTGAATTATATTCATATTGAATGAATGCATTATTATTTTCAATCCAAAAGTTGTAATATTTGGCAGAAATATTCGAATTCGTATCAAATATTTTGTTTATGCGAACAATTAATTCATTCATTTCTTTAACAGAAGCTATATATAGAGGTATATAATATGATTAAATATATAACATATAATTACAACATGTAGATAATTGTTTTGCAATTTCTATTCTAACCTGGCATATTTATTTTATATATGTTATACACATGTCCTGAAGATATATGTTTATATTTATATGATGTATTAGAGTAAGTATAAATCTTTTCAAACATGGACTCATTGATTTCCCCTGTTTCTAAATGATAAATAATTACAAAATAATTTTCTTAAAATTTTATTTGAATACAAACCTAAACTTGTTTTCTGATTATTGTTTCGTATGAAACAAAATAGTTTACTTCTCAGAAATATTTTCAAAATTGTATTGTCATTAATATTAGTTTTAATTAATTTCCACTCATTTTCCCCAATAATGGGTTTATTTGTCATAAATGTCTGCAATTGTGATAAAATGTGCGAACATTCGGGTCTTTGCCTCCAATCTGTTGAACCGTTTTTGCGATACTTATTGACAGCCATTGACACCAATAATGCATTCATTTTAATATTAAATTCCAAATTATCATATTTTCCAATTCTGTAAAAGTTTTAATTATTTTTATAAACTTATAAAAATTAATTTAGTAAGAATGAATCTCTAATATAAACATACTTTCCCTCAATTATATCGTATGTATCGAATCCAAAGATTTTGGCCCCAATTAGGGACAGACTGTAGATATCTATTAAATGGTTGTATTTTATTGGATATGAATTTACTTCCGGTGCCATATAGTTGATAGTTCCCACATCTGCCGTATGTTTTGCTTTTGACATCCGATACCAATCAATACTATCGACCTCTTTAGCCAAACCAAAGTCACATAACTTTATTCTATAGTCCATTGAAATCAACACATTATCCGGTTTGAGGTCTCTATGAATGATATGCTTTTTGTGCAAATATTGCACACATTCTGTGAGTTCACGAAACATTTGGTACGATATATAAAACTCAGAAATGGTCATCAATTCATTAAACAATGATTTCTTAGTTTCCAAAAACTTGTTGAGATTATTTATACATAACTCCATTTGAAAGTAAAGACAATTGCATTCAATCCATGAATAGTAGTATTGAATCACAAACTTTGACCGAACTTTGATTAGACTTTTGGTTTCATTTAAAACGTTTTGTTTCTCTTTTTCTTTCAATCCTTTAGAAAAATGAATTTATAAATTATATTAACGATAAATAATTATACAATTTATATAAGTTTAAGCGACGCACACAGTATTTCATACAATAAGCAGTAAACTCGGTAATAAACTGGGTAATAAACTAGATTAAAACATTTGTGATGGTCCCAATTTTAGTTGACTAATCCGTATGAATAATCTTTTATTAACAAGTTATTAATAATAATATTATTTAAAAAGTAACTTAATAAGTATTCATTGATTCAATCAAATATTCTTTCAATAAAATGAATTTTTTAAACAAATTTCTCATAAAAAATACTTTTAATTACCAATAATATGACAAAATTGTGAGTAAATTATAAGTTAAACAAATATTTATGAATATTCTTTAAAATTTTCATTTATACTGAGGCTAACAGAGACCGAATCCGGGCACTGAATTAGTTAATTTTCTCCACAATTAATTGTCCAAAAATTTTGATCAACACCTTAAATTAATAATTGAATACTATTAATTAAAGTCATCGGTTGTGATCAAAACATTATGGGGTACCAATAATCTGGGCCTAAAGTTGCCGACACAGTTTACGGCCTTTTAATGGCCAAGTGGGCGGGTTGGAGGATAATTGGTGACATTTTGAAGCTGAATATCAGTTTTGGATAAAGATTTACTCATTAAATCAAGAATTTAGGCTTAAAACCATCGTCAAACTTAGAAAAACAGAAATAATCGGTAATAATGGTTACATAAAATGTTGAAAATATCAGACTTTAAAAAATAGTCTTAAAATTGTAACTTTAGTCCGCAACATTCATGTCATTCTCTAACATGCCATAGTATTTTAATCACAACTATTGACTTTAATTAATAGATTGGTATTCAATTATTAATTTAAGGTGTTGATCAAAATTTTTGGACAATTAATTGTGGAGAAAATTAACTAATTCAGTGCCCGGATTCGGTCTCTGTTAGCCTCAGTAGTGTACTACTTTTATCCGATTGGAATGTTATTATTATTTGTTTCATTCACTATAGGAATGATCATTTTCAAATACCCTAACATACGACTAAATAATGAAATGCCTTTAACTCCAAAATATTAATAATAACCCAAAACTGTATTTCCCATTAGACTCCAAAGTTAGACCAATTTTTGGAACCCGACCCAAACCCTTAATGCCCGTCAAACGGGAAGCTCGCCCCGGCCCGGCCTCTATGTCGGGAAACCCATGGGAACACAAAACTATATAAAACTATATAAAATTGCGGTAAGTTTCACATTAAATGAACTTTTTTTGCATTAAACATTAAACCTACAGTCATATAATGTTTTAAGGTTTACAAAAATGATAATTAGATCTAATATAAATAATTTATCGATATTTTAGGGGTCGTGTTAAGAGGAAACATAAATACTGTGAGAAAAATATAAGGGTTTTCTAAGGATTTGGGTTTTTAAGGGTGTTTATTTCTACAGCGGGAAACCCTTTCCCGACCCGGCCCTTAATATTCAAACCCGTTCCCTTCCGAAACCCTTAAGGGTCGGGTCGGACAAGGGTTCCCAACTTCCTATTCTATTTCCCATCACTAATACTCTTAAAAATGTTGATTTGAATACTTTATGTTTCATTGAAACCATACGTCGCCTATTCGGACGATTCTGACTGAGGAGTGGTTGCCTCGTATAGGCCTAAGCCCTGCCTGTTATGGGACGGGAGGGTGCGATCGGCAGACCTCTAAACTGGTCGCTTTCGACGGCTTAATATGTAAACGTCTGGACAGACCGTAACCAACGCTACTGTCTATTCACGAGAGCAGCACTGGTTGCAACCGCTCAGTGTAAAGCTCTTCCAATATAAGAATAGCGGCAATTAAAGGCATCCCCTTTACTGTGTTATTAATTGTATACAATATTTGTTCAATCTTTGCGCATATTTTAGGTAAACATAAAAACATAAAAACATAACAAACTATTTTACAGCCTTTTTGTATAGTACTGTACTGCGGATAACTAATGCTATGAATCTCGATGATATGACTTGAGTTTTGCTCATGAAAATATTTTCATTAAATTAACTTAACTACGCAATGGATTTACTTAATTGTGTACTTAATTATGCAATCAATTAACTTAATTAAGCCCTGGATAAGTAAATCCAGTGCATAGTTAAGTTTATTTAATGAAAATATTTTCATAAGCAAAACTTAAAAATCACATCGAGATTCATAGCATTGGTTATCTACTGTACAGTACTTAAAAAAGGCTGTAAAATAGTTTGTTATGTTTTTATGCCTAAAATATTGAACAAATATTGTATACAATTGAACGTATGGTTGGTAGGAACGTATCGATGTTTAGTAACAACGCTGTAGTATAGGTATGACTGTTTCATGAGCATATATTCATATTTTCAATAAATAAATAATTTAATAATCTAATTATTAGTACTGAAAATCAGCTGCGGTTGAGTGAACAGGGTCTCTAAATATTAATCAATTCAATTCAATATTACCCTAACTTACCATTTAATTTACATTCTTTTAAAGCATACAATTCATTGTCATGTTTGTGGCGAACTTTGTATACTTTTCCAAAAGCACCCTCACCAATTTTACAGATAGTTTCAAATGTTTTCTCAAGCATTAACTTATTAGAGTGGTCGTATTTATCTAAATTAATAAATTTTAACAATTAACGTAAAATAAGTATACAGTGTATTTTACAAAGTTGTTTCAATAAAATACATATTTACCTTTATTTTGTAGTATTTTAATTAATTCGTGATTTTGTGGATTATTTGTTGCATTTGTTTTAAAACTAATTTGCAATTTATGTGAATAGAAATCATCAAATGTTGTATAATTTGTTTCCATTATTCCTGATGAACTAAATTCGTATATTTTATTATTAGATATCCCTGCTATTATTGATCTACATTTCTTATATGAAAATAATTGTGTAATATCATTGAACTTAATTGTTTTGTTTATTGGTTTCATTTGTTTGTTACTAAAATCATATGAATATATGAATCCATCGTTTAATAATAAATACACAAACTTATCATTAAAGCAAATATTATTAATATTTTTTGTATTTTCTATAATATTTTTATCCATATTTTTGAAATCACTTTTATCTCCCCACACAAGCACCTGACCCTCCGATGTAATGGCAATTGATGTCCGTTCATAACATTTAATTTTATTAATTTTGTAGTTAAATGGGAATATAATTTCAAAAGGTTTTGTTATTGCATTTGTTATAATACCCTGGTTGAAATTAATTTGTCCCTCCCAATTACTCCCCCATCCGAATACCTGTCCATTGGATGTCAACACAATTGTGTGATAATAACCACAACTTATTTGTGATATAATTAAATTGTTTGTTTGGAAATATAATATAGTATCCGGTTTATGGTATACATTCCAACTCCTATCCACATCCCGTCCCAATTTTCCCGAATAATTACAACCGAAACTGAATATAACATTATTATCCGTATTGACAGCCAATACAAAGTCTAATCCATAGATAAACTGATATATATTTTTATGACATAATTGTGGCACTGGTTGTGGTGTATGAATGGATGTATTGTGTCCTAACCCGAGCTGACCCCTACTATTAGATCCCAATCCATACACCATATCATCAAATGTCACAAACAATATGTTATATTCCTTAATGTCATCGAAAACATAAAATAATTTAATTTCTCGTTTCAAATCTTCTGGTATCTCATCACAAATTTTATAGTTATTTAAATTCGTAGACATATTTCAACTCAAATAAAGTAAATTTAAATTTACTTTATATTGTTGATTCAAATTATAAGAAATATATTTTCATAGTTAGGTGATACCAAATATTTTTATAAAAATAATTTATGTTCTTTATACTCTTAAAACTTATTCTGATTAATTAATTAATTATTTATTCACCATTAACATATTAATTTATATTTATTAAAATTAATTAACAATACTTCAAATATATAATATAAATATATACACAAAATGGTGTCAACAGTTATTTGAACTACGTGGAATCAAAATAACTTTATCAAAGTGTATATAAAATAATTTACCTTATATTATACACTTATAGTGACAATAAAATACATGATAATTGCCTAGCACAGTTATGTGACTATAGCAATTAAATACCTAATATTTATATATAATATTATTTATGACTTTTTACTTATTAAAGATGTAGAAATATCACAAAACTACTATCAAATGTACAATTATGTATAGCGTTAAAATAAATGAGCTATATAAGTAAATAATAAAATTACAAATAATTTATAAATTTAAAATTCCTATTTTAAAAATTCAGGAAATGATTGCTAATTAAACAAGTACAGTATTTTTCCTATTAAAAATTTCCAATACAATTAGCATATTAAAATGAAAGAATACTGTATTTGATATAATTAGAAAATATTTCCCGGATTTTTTGCTAATAATTTTGTGTTTATTAACTCCAATAGACAACCACTAAACAACCTAGGTCTCATAAATCGCTAATTCTTGTCTATTTCATCAAGTCCAGTAACTTTTCTATTTATAATTTAAGATTACGCAAGATAATTAGTCTGTAAATATTTTATGAAACAAATAAAATCATGTAGGGTAAATATTTTTAAATTTTAATAACAATTTATTATACTTTTCCAATAAGTATATTACTTTACATTTAAAAGTTGTGTACTAATTTTATTTGCAAAACATTTTAAATTAACAAAATACAAAATTCATAAATTCCTTAAATATTTTAACATAAAATTCAAAAACATTACATATTTTTTATTATAAACCCCATTAAATAAATAACATTTCTATTAATTACTCCATATATTCATATATACCATACATTTTTGCACACAAAAACATTTCTGTTCACATGATTTATAAATATAATAAAATTTTAAGACTTTAGTATTTCAACACTGAGACCATCATCAAGACTAAGATATTAAGAGATAATATTAATATATAATAATTTATTACTTAATAAATGTTAATTTTACAATTACTTGCATATTAAATAAATGAGTTAACATACTGTAGATACAAAATAGTTTTATGGCACAAGTGTTGTATTCATGTAAAATTTTTTAGAAATAGAAATTTTATTCTACTGTTAGTTGATGTATAATAATTTGTGAACCATATCCAATCAGTAACTCATGTTAAATAGCCTCTGTGATTTAATAGGCTGTCCATTTTGCAATTGATATCCACTCTCGAGTGCACGCTTTCTATGATCGGGAACTACAGTCCATTGTTGAACATTAGGGTCCATATCGACAGCACCGGATGTTTGGGTGTTTTGGGTTAGGGAATCATCACAACATCTAAAAAAGGCCTCAATTTCATCGGTTAGCTCAGGTATGTATGCGATATGTGTAGTCGCTGTTTGAGTTAAATCCTTTTCTGGTTGCGTTTGGCCAGTATTAAGGGTCGGCCTCTCATCCACAGGTATTTCAGGTATGTTTGGGCTGACTATCGGATCCGTTGGACTCAAAATTTTCGATGAATTGTTTGAATTGTTTGTTGAATTGGTTTTCATTAATAAGTATTTAT